TTTAAAAAAAAAAAAAAAAAAAAAAAAAAAAAAAAAGATGGAACCTGGGTTTCTTCGTTGGGGAAAGTACGCTCTTTCGCGGCCAAAACGAAACCTCGAAGTCCAGCCATTGCATACCCGAGTGGTCTGATTGTAGCGCATGTGCTACGCACGTGAACAAAGAGAATTTGACACAAAATAGGATCAAATGTAGGCTTTTCACTTATTCAACATTTTTTTAAAAAAATTATGAACATCAAACATAAATTTATACAAAAATTTATGTCCATTAAACCAAAATATTAAAAAAAAACTACAGAAAAAAATATAAATTAAAATAATAAATTAATCCAAGAGAAAAAAAAAATACACTTAGGCATAGTGTTGAATGATTGTAAACATTTATACAATCTTAGGCATCAACATATTTATAATGTCCAAAGTCCCCATCACCTTATCTAACATGTGCACAATAATAGAAACTAAAACAGGGGAGCATCCAGATAAATATGTGAATCAAAGGACACAATCTGGGATTAGGCTACTCCCTGCTAGCATGGCCCCTTCTTCTTCTTCCTCTTGTTCTTCGTTTTGTTGCATGCATTCTTGTCCTTCCACCTGATGCCAAAAACAAAAAAACTCTTCACCTCTTACTCCGTAACTCACTTGTAAAGAGTGAGTATTAGGAGGAGCAGAACCTTTGACTTGAGCTGAGTATTTACATCTCCCAGCTCCTGCTCCTGTACCTCTCAAAAAACCACACCTTTTATCAATGCACAAAAGGCTACACATTACATGTTTATCACACTTTGTAAACCTTGTTTTTCTTACCATCTTGCGCGTGTCTGCTATTTTTTGAAGCATTATCTCAACCTGCATACAAGGGATCATTGTTGTAATGAATTTAGTGAGTCCAACACAATAATAATAAAAGGATAACCCAATCCTTATCCTGAGTTATACCTTCCGGTGTCTGGTTTGTGAAAGAGTTTTGTCCAATTGTTTCTCCAGAGTATGCAACTCTTTTATGCTCAGTGCTTCAAGTTCTTCTCCAACAAGGTTCCTTCATATTCACAAACCACATCAAACAAGAATTGCTCCCTAATTTTCCAACAAAAAAGTATATAAAATCTTGATTAACATGTTTAATTAAAGAACCTATGGGAACGCTGCAGAGATTCGTATTTTGCTCTTAGCTTTGACACCTCTTCTATCTGCATTATCAAGATGTGGATAATCATGTATTCAAAATAATAGTTAGCCTTAGTTTTGGAAGTTAATTCAAACATATCTCAAATAAGACACCGATTCTGAAAATATCTCTCTAGTAGACGTGTTTTAAAATAGTGAAACTGACGGTGATAAGTAACGAGTCAAAGCGGACAATATTTGCCAGCGGTAGACTTGAACTGTTACAAATGGAATCAAAGCCGGACACTAAATGGTGTGCTAGCGAGGACGCTAGGTGTCACGGTCATGCTTGTCCAAGGCGTGTTGCCCATGGCCGCATGCCCATGACAAGCCAAATCCTTTATATCTTTCCATGTTTTAGTGTTTTACTTTTGTATTTCTAGAGAGCATGACGTTTCGAAAAAATCATGTCTAAGCCGGCTAGACATGAAATGCCTTAGAATGTACTATAGGGGATATGATTAGTTGTCAACTTCTCCCTACGAATAGTTATATACTGTGAGCCGTTGAATTTACCCTCTTACTTGCATATATAACGTCTCTTTCGAAAATCTCTCTCTGCCCTCGTTTTCTTAAACCGAGGCTAGAAGTTCGAGCATACGTCGCTTCACCGTAGGCGACGTAAGAACGAATTGGCTTAACTCACTTGTCGTTGGAAAGTGAGTGCCGCACAATAGCAAGTCTGCTGCCGTCAAGAGTGCGACTATGACACTAGGCTCCCAAGAGGGTCGGATTACAAGATCTCACATCGGTTGGAGAAAGGAACGTTCATTACAAGGATGTGAAAATCTCTCCCTAATAGACATGTCTTAAAACTATAAGATTGATGACGATACATAACGAACTAAAACATACGATATGCAACCTGTACGTGAGTGTGGTGAAGGTTGGTGGTTGATCCAGTGTTGTAACATCGGTGGTGGTACCTCTCAAGGATCTTGTTCATGCTAATCATGGGAGTGAATTCCCATTACAAAACAAGAAAAAAAAAGGGGTTAAGTTCAAATGAGTAAGAAGATATATATATGTATATATACTGACTCGGTGCTGCCAAATTCAAAGAGCTTTCCCCGACTAGAGAACATGATGAGAGCAACGTCCACATCGCAGAGCACAGAGAGCTCACAGGCCTTCTTCAATAACCCATTTCTCCGCTTTGAGAAGGTCACTTGACGGTTCACTTTGTTCTCTATTCTCTCAACCACCACTTTCCCCTTCCCATGCTTATCCCTTTTCCCTCTAATTCACGTCCCCCTCTTTTGACCCATTAAATATCACGGTTAGTCTCTCACTCTTTTGACCCATTAAATATCACGGTTAGTCTCTCACGTTAGAATCTGACACCCTCTCTTATGTTAAGCTTTGTGAGGGTCGGTTTTCAACTTTATGAGATACAAAATGGGTGGTGTGGGCTCATAGATGAGAATCTATACAACATGAGGGACATGTCTTTTCCTTAATCCTCCTTCAATGGAACCATTGTTGTAGCTCATTGGTGTTATGTTTTTGTGCCACTTTATCCATTCCATTTTTTACATTTTGACTAAAAAGCAGGTTATTTTGGTACCAACACAGCGTGGCACAGAAGCAGGTCACTTCTCCACGTGTCACTTTATCCATTTCATGTCTCTTTATCTTCTGGAACTCCGATCACGTATGCACACACGTGTCGACCCTCTATCCTTTTCCCCCTCCAACATAATATTCTCCTTTTCCTCAATTTATTCATTGTGGGGTCCATATATTCGTCAACCTTCACACGTGCCGACCCATGACCACTGCCATTTCAATAGATCCGCATCTATTCACTTCTTGTGGACCAATAAGAACATGACACGTACTTCCGTTCACACAGTAGTTCTCTTTATAGTATTTATAAAAAGGACAAACAAGCCCAGCTAAATTACATTGGGTTCAATCGATATAGTGAAGCCCATAAACACATTTAGTTGGGCCCATGGGCTTACGAAGGGTAGAACGGACCTTTTAGAATAAAATGTTTAGGGAAGCGGTTTGCTGCTTTATATGACATTGTGGATGAATTCTTAGATTAGATCAAAAGTGCTCGGGTGGCGAACAAATTATAACTCTATTCAGTCAGCTAGATTGATAGAACTACGAAGAATAGTACTATCAGGTTGGGTAGCCTAATACGAGGATTATATTCTTGTTCGAGGAGAGAAGATTGAGGATGCAATAGTGGTCGATACCAAGTATGTCCCACGATGTGATCCCTAGTCGTGCTCTATCTAGATTTGTTTTGGGCCTTCATATAACAACAAGAAAACTGTGAGATCCCACATCAGAGAACGAAACATTCTTTGTAAGGGTGTGAAAGCTCTCTCCAATAGAAGTGTGACCGAAAGGAAAAATCCAAATAAGACAAATATCTGCTAGCTAGCGATGAATTTAGGCTGTTACAAAAACTCTTGTTGTCGTTCGAGAGTAGATTTATGAATAATTGTTCGCTCAAACAATAGAGAGATAATATCAATAGAGATAATTGTTCGAGAGATAATATCAATAGAGATAATTGTTCGATCCTCTCTTTCCTTCCTAATTGACGTGAGACTTTGTTTGCACGTAACATTTAAGGCAGGTGAGGGTAGAGTCGAGAGAATTGGGCAACCTCGATCTTGGAAGTTGTTACAATAATTGAATGGAGGAAAAAGAGGATGTCCTATTATAAACCAAGAGTCTTGTCTTGTCTCTCCAAAGCAACAAAACTTCTTTTCAATGTTTACGAATCTAGACAGACCATACGCCTAATTATTCAATTATGTACCCAAAAATAACTCAAATGGGCCACCCTCCCCTCCACCATTAAACTTGCTTCTCTTAATGCTCCCTATCTATGCTCATAATGTTCTCCACAACTATATATTCTCAAAACCCTAATGCCTCCACATTATGGGTGGACCAACTTATCCTAAAAATCCTTAATATTACCAAACCCTCTTTTATTTCCTATTTATTTATATATTCGTGGAAGAATGAACTCAACCCGACTCAACCAACCAGTGTCCTCAGGGTTGTGAATGATTCTCTCGTGGCTGTGGATTCCGTATGCTCTCTCCACCTTTTAGAATTGAAAAAGAAAGAGTTTTCAAACTAGAAAATGATACAAGTTAGAAGCTAGAGAGGTTAGTGGGAGATTGGACCCATTGATCATTGATACCTGAAGATAGAAAGCTGATACATAGTGGGCACCTTTTCATTTTAGTAAAGCTTCCAATTTTGCAGTAAAAGATATGCAGGTATAATTTGGTTAAAAAATGAGGGGTGAGGCAGATAGAAAAGCATATAATTTTAATGATTGAGAATTTGGGTTGCTCCTGTTCCTTGTAAAATCCAAAAAACCATCAACATAGGATTGTTTTTGTCTCCCATTATTCTAGTATAGTCTAAAGCCACCACTACAACCACACCAGGCCAAACAAAAGTAATGGCACACCCAAACAAGAATCACAGCCATGGCTTCAGTGGGTAACCAAAGACAGAATGTTTTTTCCCTAATTAGGACAATCCGTGCTGTTTTGTATGCATCCCAATCTTGTTGGGTCTGTCAGGTTTCATGGGATTTCAATCTTTTTTCCTTTTTTTTTTCTTTCTTTTTTTTGGCAATATGTTTTTGTGTGTAGCAGGTAAGCTAGTGGCCTCACCTTTGATATCCTTAAGATCGTGGAAACTCCCCCACCATGTAACACAGTGATGCTTTTCTTACGTGCGTGCGCTCTCTCAAAATGGGGTTGGAATTCAGAAATGTGGGACAATATCATATCACTTATATTAAAGGGATGCCATACATTTATATAAACATCGGTTCAAGTCCACTCCTAGCTAATATTGTCTTTTTTGAACTTTTTCTTCTAGATTTTTAAAACGCATCTGTTACGGAGAGGTTTCCGTGCCCCAACTAAGGTGAGATCTGACACTTTTAGATAGTCTTTTAATTGGTAAGTGCAATATCGAGAAAAGATCGAAGAACACCACTAAAGGGATGTGTTGGTTTAGTTGGTGAACAAAATGTTGATAGCAATATGAATGTTGAAAGGAAGAAAACTAGGTGGGTAGTGGGATAAGCTATCATTCAAAAGCAAAAAGTGAGACATGGGAATTAGTTCAAACACTTTCAACTTTTTCCCATTAGATACTAATTATGATAATGATTTGTACTAAAAGGGTAATATAAGGCTTCACTTAACATAGTTAATTAGATCTCTAACTTCTCCCCATCGACATGTTTATAAGTTAATCATTAAGAAGATGAAAATTTGATGAGACGAAAAAAAGAGACCATGAATATAATGAGTAATCTTATCTTGAAGATCTTGTCTAGCTACGAGAATCCAACTCAAGTGATTATCAAAATAATGATACAATGACTATTTTGCTTTGTTCGTACCCACTCTCCCTATGTCAACGTTTCACATTTAGTTCCTTCTTCATGGAAACGATTGGATGGTCTTGCCATCATTACCAAACACCAACTATCTTCAATTCTTCAAAACCTTCACAATCTTACCATTTTTGGGTTATACCTCTCGTTCTCAACTAATTTTGAGATGAAATATGATGTTGGATTAAACCCAAATGGGTATTCAATCTCGACCCAAGAACAGTGAACCCAAAAATCTACATCTAATAAATGAATAGAATGAAGAAAGAAAGAGGTGAAGTTTTGTAAGTGGCATTGCCCCATCCATCACTACTCACCAGTAATATTCCTAGGAAAACGTAATGATTGATGAGTAGCACTACACAATCCCATACACATTCATTCCAATATCCAAAGCACCAATCTTCAACTTCACCTCTCATTTCCTCATCAATACTAATTCTCCCATGGACCTAACCCCAAATGAAGGTACACAACCACACCATGCTTTTGGTGGGTGGACTATACTAAACTCGTCCTTGCCTTATCTATCACTTTCATAACTAAATAAATACATGAGATACTACTTTAGTTGGAGAGGGGAATGAAACATTTTTTTTATAAATGTATAATTACAATCGCGAACGATGAACACATTCATTTAAACTTTAGACCTAAGTTCCTTTTTCTTTCTTTTTTTTTTTTTCTTCTCTCTTTTAAAAAGTATTACATAAAGATGTGGAAATTGGTACATAGTACCTCTTTAGAAAAAAAAAAAAAATTCCTTTTTTACAACTTCTCTCTTTCCTTCACGCTTGTCGATTAAAATGATTAATGTATACTAAATAAAAGAAGGGTAGAAATGAAACTCATTTAATTTGGGTTTAAATAAATGGTGGAGTCTCCGAACATGCACGTGACAAGGGTGGGACAAAATGAGGAGCAAAGAGGGAAATGCGTATTGTGTACATTAACAAACCTTCTTGCAACGTCCAACGCCACAAAAAACAAACACATACAAAACACTACCTTTATTGGCATAAAACACAGATTAGAAATGAGGGTGGGTTTAAAGAGAAGGGGCCAGAGAGGAAGCAGCGGTGGCCAACTTTTTGTGTTGAAGCCAAGTTGTGAAGGCCTTGAAAGTGTTTGAATCCGACCTATAAAACTTTTGGGTCAGCTCAAGAAGCATTGGCCATGTGTAATCTGGAAACTTTCGTGGCGGATTCTTGTCCACGATCTCGTCCGGTGCTCTCACCACTTTGTCACCCGCCGGACATAGGAAGAACACAATTGATTTTCTTGCTTCCCGGCAGTTCACTACCGCCCGGTGGAAACAGCTCTTGTAAACCCCATTTGTGAGAGCCTAAAAAAAACCAATTTGAGAATTAGTCAAGTTTGAAAAGAAAGTGAATGTGTTATATTAGTTGAACGCGACTATGATATTATTCACTTTGAGCATACGTTCAGATAGTATTTTATAATCTATGATTATTATTTAAATTAGCTGACATGAGACTTTCATCCGACGTATATACCATGAAAGTGTCACCGATGTTGATGACAAAGGAGTCTTTGATTGGAGGAATTGAGTGCCACTGATCATCAACGTACACTTGAAGGCCACTGACGTGATCTTGGTGAAGAATGGTTATGGAGGTGGGATCACAATGAGGGCCAGTTCCCAAGGTCAGCTCAGGCTTATTGCATGGTGGGTAATAATTAAGCCTTATTATAGAATCGTTGTCTTCAAAGAATTTCTTGAATTTCTGTTTTGGGACGCCAAGGCTCAACCCCAAAAGCTCCACTATCTTCAAACTCAGATCGCTCAGCGCTTTTCCACACTCCTCATACACCTTCCTACAATACATTCAAAGCTTAAAGTTCATTCCTTTAAAGCAAAAGAGTAATAAACAAGGGATTTTAGTTACCCTTGTTGGGAGAATTCTTGGCCCAAATGGTGGCAAACATAGTCGTGTGTAATGGGGTGATGAGCAGCATAGCGTAGGCTAAATGTTTCCTTCCATGGAAGCTTGGAGGAGAATCTCCCAATGAAGCTATTGGCATACCCATAATTTTCACCCACCTTCCTTTGAGCCTTTTGCTTCACATCAAGAGGCAATGAGAAGAACTCATCCATACATTCATGAACGTTTTTCATCAATTCCATGTCCACTCCATGGTTGACCAACACAAAGAATCCATGCTTTCTGCAAGCCTCATCCACCAGCCTCCTCACCTCTTCAATATCATTCTCATTTTCACTCATGAACTTCTGCAAGTCAATATGTGGAACATGTAGCTCCGGCACTGACTCTCTTGCCTTAAACTCCTCCGGCCATATGAAATTCTCCGGCACCATTGACTCATCGGAGGACCCAAATTCCACACGGTGCTTCCTCTTCATCTCTTGCTTCAGTTTTGATTCTCCTTGTGATTTGGCTGTCGTCATGCATTTGATCGCCATTGCATGCACCCAAACAGATTTAAGAAAATGGAATAACTAATAGACTATTCTTGTTCTGATGTCAAGAATTTGAATGGATTTGGAGAGGAGAGTTGGGAAAATTTATAAGGTCACAACAAGGGTAAATAGGGAATTTCAATCCTCTTTCCACAAGTCTTTGTGATCATCAAACTCCACATATCTCCATCCCATCTTATCGAACGTCATGCCGGTTGAGATTTGCTCCACTTACATATTGTGAGATCTTAGAAAGAGAGAACAAGTGTGAGGGAGGACACTAGGGCCCTAAAGAGAGTGAATTGTGAGATCTCACATCGATTCGAGGGGAGAACGAAACATTCTTAGTGTAAACATTTCTCTAATAGATGGGTTTTAAAAATTAGTTAAAAAAAATACAATATTTATTAGCCGTGGATTTAGAGTGTTATATGTATTCTGTTCATCTATTTGTGATCCCTCTCAAACATACAAAGGATATCATTTTTATTACATCAATTTCTCTTTATCATACCGTTTGCGGGTTGAGTTATTACGTACGGCTAGATGGAAGGCATGACTTTGATACCCACAAGTTTTTTTCTCTCTCCCAACATGCATTTTACATCAGATATTTGTCATTTTCCCAAAAAATAAAAGAAACAAATTAGTATTATATCATTGTACCCAAAAAAAAAACTTTGGTTCCATTGCTTCATTATATATTTTTTTAAAGCCTTTTCATTGAAAGTGACGTGATGTGGTATGTTTCCACGAAGTTGAAGAGAGAGAGAGAGAGAGAGAGAGACAGAAAATGAATAGTAATTTTATACATGAAGGTTTGTTTGATTACCATGTTAAATTCTTACATCAATAATTGATAAGGTAAGAGAGCATTTAAAATTACACATTTGGAGGAGGCTATGGCTATGAACATTCATGAAATCACAGTTAATTTGATGATCATTCATGCTAATTAAGGAAGACAGCCACAGTTTTGTTTTTTGTTGAGAAAGGTGTTAGAACCCTTTTAACGTAAAGTTGGAAGGACACATGAAAGTAACTTTAGGGTTTAAAGAGACCCACAACCTTTGCACCAAATCAAATCACCATTCAATCAATAAAAACACTTGAAAATTGGATTGTCGTGATGAAGAGAGCTTGCTTTTCTAAACAACTAATTCCATGAAGAGTTGAGATGTTAGGAAGAGGCATATGGCGAACAAGTTAGCTGAATCTTGAAGGTACCTTGGAGAACAAAGTTTGATTTTGTTGTCTGCTGCAGAACAAAACCCTTAATTCATTATTGAGAATCCCTTTTTTTAACCATAAACCCTTAATTCATTTCTCTTTTTAATTTCCAAATCTTTTGTTTTTTTA